GGCAGCTACTCTGTCCCATTTCTAGATTTGTCATATGAAGAACAGGAGCGGATGGATGGCACTAGTATTGGTGGTACTGTCCAATGTGTGATGGCAGCAGCAGTGATGTGCTCTGTATGTCTTCAGTCACAGGGGACTTCAGGCTGGCACTTCGCACCACAGTTACCTCTGCAGATTACAAATGCCCTGTAGTCATCCCCAGAAAATACTTAAATGGGCAATAGATCTACAGAAAAACATCATACTTGCCCTGTTCAACCTAACTGTGAAATGAATACAAGAAAGATGCAAAACTCTGTAAATCAAACATGAATCTCAATAAAAAGATGTGGACCTTAGTATAGTCCGCAGAATGCATTTTCTCATACATTTTATGGTAATGGTATCATTATTTTCCTTTTTCTTTTCCATAGCTCTAATTCTTTTTTCACTTACACTAATATAAATCAGTACCAACTCCATTTAAGTCAATGGAGTTAGACTGGATTATGCACTTTTTTTTCTTTGTCAAAAATAGAATCATGCCACGTGTTTTTTAAGTGGCTTATGGGAAACTGTAAAAGGGAGAGGTCTGTAGCCAACATGAGCTCTCTAAATCTGCAAGGATGTCAAAGGCTTGGAGGAGAATGCTTTTTATATTTCAGAGGTTTGAAGTGTAGTAACATTTCAGCTGAGCGTAGTTCCAAATTATTTCTGAAGAATTTCCCAATTGGGGAGAAAATAACATGTTTCAAAAGAGTTTGCATTGGGGGAGGCAGAGAGGAGTCAGAGAGAAAACGGAATGAAAAAGATTAAATACAGTTATGTCAAAGAGATTGTGCAACTAGCTCATGTGCTTACAAGTGTAGCCTGGGTGTACACGGGTATATACTCCCTTCTCCAGTTGAAGGGGATTGTTAGCTGGCAGATGTGCCATGGATGAAACTGCAGACTCCTCACAGTTTTTCTGTCCCAAAGGAGCCAGGCCAGGACAATCTGGAACTTAACTATATACAAATGTATTGTTATTTACATAAGTGGGTAAAATATAAACATAAATATAAACATATGTACAGGTATATATATTCAGATATATAACTTATAAACCTTATTCTCCATAATGGGTTACCACCACTAGGGTTTCAGGTAAGTGACAGATAAACACAGGTAAATAATAGCAAGGAGTACCAGCAGATCCCCCAGGCTCTGTTAAACTACCAATTCACAAATACAGAAGTACATAAAATATAAGGCGCAATATTACAAAATGTAAGGTACACTCTCACAAAACATAAGACACATCAGCCTTACACTAAACTTAACTTATTAAGCGCCCCCCAGGGCCACAGGCTGATCCTGGGGCATTGGCTGTACTCCCACAACCAGTAGGACGGGGAGGATTCTCCCAGTGCTCTTGCCCTTGGGGCCCTGGCAGGGACGCCACCCAAAATAGCCCACGTGGGAGGGCCTGGCTGGGGTGTTTCCTCCCCTGTGGAAAAGACCCTTTTCCCTGGGTAACTCACGGCTTGGTCCCACTGCTCCTCTCTTGTGAGGCCTCTGGGGCCAATGGCTCCCCTTGGGCTGCTGCCCAATGGGGGCACTGGGTACTGTTGCATGCACTGGAGGGCTCAACCTTCTGTTGGGGGATAGAGGCCCAGGCTGCCTCATGGAGCACGGGGGCTTGGTCCGCTCTCAGACCCTTCATGCAGCGTCGTCTGCACCGAGCCACTGGCCCCATGCCAGCAGCTGCAGACCTGAGCAGCCTCAAGTGGATTCAAGGGTCTTGGCTCATTGGGGACCCACTGTACAACGAAGCCTGATCAAGCCCCGGTGCTTACCAGGGGTTGGAGACCTAAGCTGGGCCTCAGACCAACCGTGCACCGTCCGTGCACTGAAAAATCCTGCCCACTTGCCAGGGGGATGGGAACCTGAGCTGCCCAGTGCAGCTCCCAGGGTCCCGGTCCATGCTGTGCACTGCTCATGCACTGGAAGCCTGGCCTCAAGCCGGGGGTTAGGACCCAAGCTGCCTCGAATGGCTCCCAGGGTCTGGGCCCTGTGTGCTGTGCTGTGCACCGGCTGAGTGTCAGACTGACATGGGGAGTCCTTGGGGTTCTTCTGGGCACTACCTCCACCCTCTTGGCAACTCTTCACAGGTCATCTTCTGCCCTGCTCTCTCCTCTGTCCCCAATTCACCTGCCGCATGCTGGGTGCACTGCTTCTTTTAGACCTTTTGGAGGCTCCTCCCCTGGATTACAAACAGACCAATTGAGTTGAAGCAAAGTTCAGGCTTCAACTAAGGATGGGGCAGGCCCATCCCAGCAGTTACCTGATTGGTGGGTGTATTCCACCAATCAAAATGAAGATTCTCTGAGCCTGGATGTGCTGGGCTGTTATTGTTAAGTCCACCACCCATGTAATAGCATCCCACCTAATTAAGGACTGTAACCTTTCTCTCTTTCTTTGTACAGCCAAAGGTCCTGGCCACTCTGGGTGCAGGAGGAGTTCAGACCTAGGTGCAGAATTTTGCTTTAATTAAAGCATTGACCAATGTAACAATTGTATCAGCACCACTATAGGTTGGATCATCAGGTTCAATGGTAGTCATCAATGCTTCAATGGCTGATTGGGAGGAGGTATCAGGTGGGTTTCCTCAGGGGTCTGTCCTGGGTCCAGTATTGTTTAATGTGTCTTCATTAATGATTTAGGTGATGGGATCAAGTGTATGTTTGATGAATTTGTGGATGGCACCAAGCTGGGGGGAGTTGCAGATACTCCAGGAGAGTGGGGCTCAGATCCATAATGATCTGAATAGACTGAATAAATGGTCAGTTGGATGACATTCAACAAGGACAAATGCAAAAGCCCCTTAGGCCTGAATAAGTCCCCATGTAGTCTCTGCTGGCCACAGCACACCAGGATCAGACCCCACACCAGGCCCATACACAAGAGTTATGCTCTGGGACCCTGCACCACCAACTCCCAGCCCTGTGCACTGGGATTGGACCCATGCCACCCATGTCTGCCTCCATGTGCCAGGATAGGGCCCCTCATGTGAGGATCAGGACCTGAGGCCTGACACCACCCCCGTCCTGTCCCATGCATTGGGAATGAGTCCATGGCATCATGTGCACTAGATCAGGCACACAGGGACTGGGGCTCCCCATGGGTCCAGAAATTTGGGTGCCACTACTGCCCTGCTGCCAAATATTCAGATCTGTGGGGAGCCCTGCAGGACAAATGACATGGCTCTGGGAGCCAGAAGTGGCCTACTGACTGAGGGTTGAGCACCCCTACAGTAGACCATAAGTTAAATATGAGACCACAGTATGCTTTTGTTACCAACAAAGCTAACAACATGCTGGGCTGTATTAACAGGTGTGTTACTAATTGAGGGGAGTGATTCTTATGCTTTGCTCAACACTGTTGAGGACTCACCTGGGGCACTATGTCCAGTTTTGGGCCCTACACTTCAAAATGATGTGGACAGTTTGGGAAGAGTCCAGCACAGAGCAACAAAAATGATTAGGGGCCTGGGAGGCAAGACTTGTGAGGAAGGGCTGGAAGAACCAGGGTTATTTAGTCAGGAAAAGAGAAGACTAAGGCTGGGGATTTGATAAGTCTTCCAATACTTGAAGGACAATTATAGATAGGATGGAAGTGGGCTTTTTTCTATAGCTGTAGGGGACAGGACTAGGAGCAATAGCCCAAAGCTATAGCAGCGGAAATTTAGGTTAGAGATAAGGAGGAATTTTATGACTATGAGGGTGGTCAAAAACTGGAACAGGCTACCTAGAGAAATTGTAGAATCTCTATCTTTGGACATTTTCAGGAGCAGGGCTATATGGACACTTGGCTGGGATCATTTAGTCAGGGATGATCCTGCCTTAATCAGGGGGTTGGACAGGGGGTTATTCCCTTCTAGCCCTACTTTCTTTTGCTGCAGATATGTGTGTGTTACACTATAACCACTAGGCTTGCCTGCTTCTGTAGCAATACAAGTATAGCAAAATTGATCCAACTTTTAACCTACTTCATTCAGGTTAATGTTTTAGCCATTCATCTACCTTGTATCACCACAGATGTATGCAGACCTAACAGAGTAACAGCTGACATGCACCCCAGAGTGGCAGCTCCCCTGGTTTCAAGTGATTAAAGGGTACATTTGTCCATATTATCGTTTAGTCAACTCTTGCCTGATTTCTCTTTGGCTTCCTGAAAGGCCTGGTCTTGTTGCTGTTCAAGTCAACAGTAAAATTCTAGGTGACTCCAAAAGAAGCCAAGCCATGCCCAAATATCCCACACTGATGGCACTGAATTGATCTTTTTCACACCTAGCTATTTTTCATTTATGTGAACTGTTTTCGATCAGCTATAAATTCACAAAATCTGTAACTGTTGTAAATGACCAGTTTTGTCTGTTGCTAAATCTCTCCACATCCTTCATTTACTTCACTAAGTGCCATTTTCCACAATTGCCCATTTACTGGATAAGTGGCATGATACAAATGCACCCTGCTGACCAAAGCTTCATTCGTTCCCCTCATTTCAATAAGAGTACAAAACAACTATCTGCCTTAAAAGAATTCATTTTTAAAATGGAAAACAATTTTCTTCTGGGGGCCTTCTGCTGAATAGGCTTAAATGCTAAGAGTCCATGTGCTTGCCCTGGAATCACTGCACAGTGTTAGTTTTCAGTAACCTGAATCCTCAGGTGAGTTTATTCCCCAGTCCTTTCCTGAAGCAGTCACAAAGTCATAGAGAAGCAGGGCTGGAAGAGGCCTCCAGGGGTTATCTAGTCCAAACCCCTGCCTGAGGCAGGATCATCCCTATCCAAACCATCTCATATAAACCAAAATCTAAACTCTACATAATACTACTGTCAAGCCACATAAGACTACCATCACACTAGAATCAGGGAGACCAACTTTTTTTGGTGGGCATGCTGCAAATTATGCCCCGCTCCCTCCCTGCTTTTCACTCCAGTCCCCTTCCCCTGCCTGATCTGCTGCTTGTTTTCAGACCCTTGCTCTGTGCTCGCTGCCCAACCTGCTGCTCTGCTTTCTGCTAGCCCTATCTGCAGCTGTGATCCCTGCCTCCTCCCCAGTCTGCCGCTTGCCAGACACAAAAGCTGCTTGTGCCACTTATGGTACATGTACTGCAGGTTGGCCACCCTTAAGAGGCCACATCCTCAGGTGCTGTAATATTCAGCTCCAGTGATGTCAAAAGTGTTACCCTGATTTACAACTGACTCTCAGATCTAGGCATCTAAATGTCTGACAAGAGCAGAGTAGGAAATGTTTCTCCTGTAGCTTTGTTGTCAGGGTTTACTTTCTTCCATAGAGGCAAGGTAATTTGAAAGAAATGCTGTGACAAGGAACTTGCTTGCATTTCAGTTTCATGATGAATTGAGATGTTTGTCATTTAAGATACTATTTCTGTACTAAACAACCTGAGATTTGTTTTAAAGGCTTTATTTATGACTTGATGAGAATGTTTAAACAAACAGATTCCTGTGTGTACTTCCATTCTGTACGTGCAAGAAATTGAGGCTCTGTTTATAGGGCTGGATTGTGCTTGTCTACACCTCCTTTGTGCTGCACCTGGGAACATACCCCACCTCATATTTTACTGCAGGTGTGCAAAATCTTGGAAATGAGGTGAAGAGGAGCCTTGAGACTGTGCTGGTAAGCACTCTCGAGAGAGAACCTAAGAACAACTCTAGGTATTCCCTAAGGGCTGCTTTCAGGTGACTGCTTTACCTCATTTCTTGAATTTGAGTGAGCAAGAGACATGTTTCTAGTAGAAATCCTGGGCATGGATTGGAGATACTGTAGCTATGAAAATTGTGTCTTGCCTCTGCAGGGATATGTGAGAAGGCACCGAGAGCCTTTCTTAGTATATACTGCCCAAGAACTGGGACAAGAACTTGCTGGGGAGATTTCATAGACTTTAGAGATTTCATAGACATTAGGGCTGAAAGGGACCTCACAAGATCATTGGGTTCAGCCCCTGCCCAAAAGGTAGGAAGTCAGCTGGGGTAATAGGATCCCAGCAAGCTAAGCATCCAAATGTATCTTAAAGGTGTCCAGAGTAGGCCAGTGCTAAAAACCTGTCTTTGGTTTTGTTACCTGACTTCCATCCCTTATAGGCTTCTCTTTTCAGATACAGGAGGTCAGCTTTGCGATGGATAGAGAAAGTGATGAACTTGTGATCACTGTCACCAAGCTTCCCTTCAATTCTCAGGTTGCTCACTAGATCATCCCCTTTGGCCAGTACCAGACCCAGCAGTGCCTTGCCTCTTGTCAGCCCGTAGACTTCTTGAGACAAGTAAAGCTCATCAACACAAGTGAGGAAGTTTTGCAACAGATCAGATTTGGCTGAGTGCTCTTCCCATGAGATGTCAGGATAGTCAAAGTCTCCCATAACAATCATTTATCGAGAGCGTGCAGCCTCTGCCAATTCCCTAGCGACTTCATGGTCAAGCTCTTCCTCTTGGTTAGGAGGTCTGTAAGAGACTCCAATCATTTTATACCCTTCACCACATTCCCCCATAGTCTAACCCAGTCTAACCCAGAAGGGTCTCAAGTCATAGATCCATAGATTGTAAGGTACCTCACAAGATTATCGGGTTCAGTCCCCCTGCAGTAAGCAGGAAAGACAACTGGGGTCAGGTGACCCCAGCAAGGTGACTGTCCAGTCTCCTCTTGAAGATTTCCAGGGTAGGCAATTGTACCACTTCTGGAGGGAGCTTATTTCAGTCTGGACACCCTGGCTGTAAAGAAGTATTTTTCTAGTGTTAAGCCTGAAACATATAGTGCCTAAAATATATATGTATATATGTGTATGTATATGTGTGCGTGTGTGGGTGCGTGTGTGTGTATACACACATACATATATATACATACGTATGATATATACATACGTATGTGTGTATGTGTGTATACACACATTTACTTATATATGTATACACGCATATACACACACACACACATATGTATGTGTGTGTATATATGTATATATGTGTGTATGTGTATATGTTATATGTAGCATTGGTATTTCAGACAGTTTTTATATGTATAAAAACTGTCTGAAATACCAAATATATATATATGGGAACCTGCTGGCCTTCTACTTGAGATATAATATCTTCCAGATTTATAGGTCTTTCTTTGTCTCCAATCAGAACAATAAGTATTTCAGTGTCACTGTCCAAAATACCAAACCTTTTCAGTGCATGTGAAATGTTGTTTGGTGAGAGGTCGAAAATAATTTCTGCACAGAGACTTCTGGTCTTTATTTTACTAATCCCGTAGAGGTGAACTGCTTTGTTTGCTGCTGCAAGTATCTGAAATGGACCAGCAATCATGGCCAGGCTGAGCAGTGCAGCCACCATGGAGCCCTGCAGGGCCATGCTGTGCAGTGCTGGCACATTCCGGATGTGGCAGAACAGGGTGAGGGCAATGCTGCAGCTGGGGAACAGCTCCAGCTTGTGCCTCTGCTCAGCCATCACGCAGACCCTCAGCAGCAGGGCAGGCACCGCTGAGCCTGGGGAAGTGGAGCTCCCAATCCAGCCCCCTCTGCCACCACCACTCCGCCCCAGCCCAACCCAGAGGGTGCCATGGAGCAGGCCAAGCACTTCGGTTTATGGGAGTTGCTCCCCTTGGGTGCCAATCTCCACTTGTAGAGAAGTGTACTGCCCCTGCGCATAAGAGTGCTACACCCACACCCTTTCTTGCAACACCATCCTTCCTGTACAAGGCATAGCCATCTATACCTGTGGTCCAGTCATAGGTAGAGTCCCACCGGGTCTCCTTTATCTCTATAAGATCATATTCATTTTTGTTTAGCAGAAGGGCCAGTTCCTTCTGTTTGTTGGGTCCCTCTTTGTGCCTGAGGGTCCAAGTTTCTGGAAGAGGCGAGGAGCAAGATAAAGAAACAGTTCAGCTTCCCCTCTCCTGCATTCTGCACAACGACCAAACATCACAGAAGTCCTTGCCACAGGGGCAGGGAGGAAGTGGGGGACACATGGCGGAAGTTCAAATGCACCCCTTGTCTCCCCCCAACACCCTCCTTTGGCCCCGGCTCTTGTTCTTGTTCCTTTTCTCATTCTCGCTGACCTTCCCCCATCCAGGAAGACAAGGCTGCAGCATCTAAAGGACAGTGCAGGGTTCCTATCCCCCTTCTCTCCCTTCTGCACAGTGGGAAGCTGAGACAACTATCCCTTCTGGAGTTGCTCCAAGTTAGATGCAACTCTGACATCTTTTCACTTCACAGATCTGTGCCTGCCTGACATGAGTTGGTCCCTAGTGTCCTATAAGACGGGAGATGTGTTTGATTTTATTGACACATTTACTTTGTGTAAGTCATTATGGATGATTTTAATTTGATGTTCTGCTCAGGAAGAAGAAATCCTTAAGGTAAGCTCCTTAATAGAGCTTATGTTAGAGTTTGTTCAGATTTTGAGGTGTTTTCCATTTATTTTAAAAGGCAAGCCAAGGCCAAAAAGATACAGCAGTCATGCTGAGTCACTGCTATACTCACAAGTGCATACAGACTACTTTCAGAGCAGGGAACAAACAGCAACACTCTTGGCAACACAGAAAGTCTCTGTCTTGCAATGCATTGAGCATCCTCTGCTCCAAACAGAGGTATAGGAAGTTCATTCAGTGCCTTGGGGGCAGGGGTGGTGATAGCCAACCATTGTAGAGGGGGATGAGAGGAAGGGACACTGAAGGCACACTGAAGGCAACAGATGCTATAGCCACTGGTGGTGGCAGTTCTCTGAATCGAGGATGATCTCTACCATGGCGTATTGTAGCAGCATCAACTTGGATGGCAACAGCCTCCTGGTGTGGACTCCATGGGAAACACGCTTGGTATTTGCACCCCTTCCCTCCTTCCCAGGAGTGGTATTGGGTGCAGAGCTGTGCACCCTATCACATAAATCCCTGGCAGGGAGCAGGATTCCACTTGGCCCATTCCCCCAAGATGCACTGTTGGGCACTGGGTCAAAGATGACTGCTACAACTTGAGAGTGATACAACAATTTTATTGAGTAGGATGATGATCCAGGGAGTTGGGGCACTGTTTGGGGAGTTAGGACACCTATGTTCAGTTCCTTGCTCGATTATAAATTTCCTCGGTGGCCTTGGGGGAGGCACTTGGCTTCTGTGTGCCTCAGTTTCCCATATGTCAAGTGAGAATAATAGGATTTTCCCATCTGGCAGGGGTGGTTTGTGGACCATGATGTGCTGAAATACCTTGCGAGTAGAAGCTAGGACATAGTTATGGTGCAATCCAATTTCACTTTGTGTCCAAATGGCAGCTACCCAGCTGCGTAACTGATTTTTGGCACTTATGTACAGTTTGCCATCCTACCCCATGTGCAGTGTGGATAAGTAAGCATCTGCAAGGCTTCTGTACACACTTGGGCTGTTCTCCAGCCAGGCAGGTTTACAGCTGTGTACACACCAAAACTAAATACCCACAGCAGGAAGAAGAAGGCCTTCCCATGTTTTGGAGATTGGGGCTGTTGTCTAAAATGTAGGAGACCCAGGTTCCCTTTATCCAAGGGAGGCTTTGAACCCGTGTCTTTCTGACTTAACACAGTGCTTTAATTGTGAGGCAACCAGGCACTCTCTGCTTACTCCCTTTTTCAGGCTGCTTCTTGAAGTTGAGCCATTATACCATGCAATTAATATTCATTTGATAAAATGAATGGAGAGCACTGGGGAAGTTTCTGCTCTGTTGGTAATGAGGGTCCAGAATGGAAGCCAGGGCCTACTTCCTTTCAGAGCACCATCCATCTCATTCCAACCACGTACTCTTTATCTTTCCCTTGTCTTCCTGATCCTGTACTAATTCCAGAAGACGTGCTAGAAAAGGGTCTAGTTAAGACCTAATCTGGTGGTTAGATCACTGTGCTAGGAAGTCGAAGGTACTTTCTAAACACTTCTGGGTGAGGAGGGAGCCAGAGTATGGGTGAGTATCCTACTTGCTCCGCTTTTGGAGCTAAAACATGGGAAGGCCCTCTACTCCTTCCCTCCATAAATACAATATTGGAGACGTTAACACTTAGAAAGGGAAAGGGTGTGAGATTTTTAACATCCTGCAACTTTTGCACTTCCCAGTAATGCTCTGAAAGATTGCATGGAAAAGATGAGCTTGGAGACAAGACAGGAAGGGAGAGAACCGCTATAAGAAACCAAGAACAAAGACAAAAATAACACATATGCTGAATGTGTCTCTTTCCTTTCTCTTGTATATATATTTTTAGGGCCATTAGGTGGAGTTGGGGCGGGAGTGGGAGAGATTTTAAATTTGTCAAGGACCTAGAAATTATGAGATCAGGCAACAAGCTTTTTAAATATACAAGCAGTCATTTCATATGCAACTCCAAACACATATTTATGGTTATACTGGATAAACACAGAGGCATAAGATTCAGAGTTAAGTATAATTATTCACCAAATGTCCTGAATCTCTCTTGCTAGTTGCACAATACTTCTCTATCCAACTTAAAAAAAAGTCACAGGACAGATGTAGGTAGATTCTTTCTTTGGTCAAAGTCAAGGAGTTGCCACAGATATACCTGAGGATAAAATGTGGCTCAACAAAAGTAACTTTTTACACAGGAGTTGTAAAAAGTGCACACCCCTCAAGAAAAGTAGCAGATTTTGCTAATGGGAATGTCTGTTACAATCCAAGCTGTGGCTCTGCAAATATGAGTCTCACAAAACAAACTAGCATAATGCTGATGGGAAAAACAACTGTGTCACAAGGTCTTTCAGCTCATATTTTTATCATGTACAATGAAGCCATATTTTTCTTAAAGTGGACTGAGATAGATATGAACCTAAACATGGGAGACACTACCTGAGGGGCGTCAGAACTTTAGGAGAGCTGTATCAGTAATTTGACAAGTGTCTAAGGGACTTGTCTACTTTACATACCCAAATTTACATAAAGTGTTTATTGCTAATTAATGAGCACAAACAATATTTACTTAGGCTTCAACTCTTACTGCATTTGCTTGTTTACATCTATATATGGGAAAGCAGACTTTGGGCCACTAGAGAAACAGAATGACACAGTGCTCAAGACTCTGAAGCTCTTTAGTTTCACTCTTGCTATTGGCTCTGTCATGGACTTTGTTTTAATGCTCCCCAGCCTGGATTTTGGGTCATCCTAAATTATTTTATGAGCAGGGGTGATGCCTTTGCCAGTGTCCTGAGGAGTGGGGTGGGGGTGCTGGGGGGAGTTGTTCTTGACATTATGAAGCCTTGGAGATGAGATTACAGTTTGTCTAAACATGATCACTGAGGCCATATGATAAAGCAAGATGAGCAAACATGTTCTTATATCAGTAAGAAACAATCCACAAACTGCATTTGCTTGCAAGATAGCTGTGCTTGTTCCCTGAAATTTTGCCACCAGCAACTAGGGTGCAGTCATTACATGCACCTAAGAGCAAGGCAAAGAGTCACCGAAGAACAGAAGTTGTGATTCTATGTTCAAGCATCCACCTACATTTCCCCATCCTACACAACCAGGCACATGAGGCTGAATGTGGAGTGGAACCAGTGTATGACACAGGGTGTGCATTTCCCATGTGAGTGGCTCTATTGTTCAACAAATCACAACTTTTTAGGAGAAACCCCTTCTAAATCCATGTATTTGGAATTCTGGATGCAGCCAGTGCATGAATAGTTTATTTTT